CTGCGCAGTGAGCCAGAGCCGAGCACGCTGACCGGAGTTTCCTTCCGCCCGCAGGGAGCAGATGTGAACTGTACCCATGGCACCCTGAAGCCCCTGCACTGTGCGTGCATGGTGTCAGATGCTGACTGTGTGGAGTTACTGCTGGAAAAGGGAGCGCAGGTAAAACTTTTTAACACTGTCACGTTACGGACCCACTGAAGCTTGAGCTTCGCATTTCCTTAACATTTCTGTCTTTTCTCCCATCTCTTCCCACCTTCTAGCCCGTGGTAACATTGGCATGGCCAATATTAAAGCAAAATGTAATGGTAAATACATACAGTGATCCAAAGGATTTCATTCCTTTGCCTTTCTTTCTTAAGTTGTCCGTGGCTCCGGGAAGAGGGAGTTTTATTTCCCCTTTCTCTCCCAGCCTTCCTCCTGGGCTTGTTTACCTTTCCATTCAGCCCTCTCATTGCCCATTGACTGTCCAGGTGCTCTAAGTACAGAGGCCCCTCGAGTGATGAAATGGAAACCATTGACAACCCACTACCGGACATGCACTTCTAATACCACCGTTACTGGGAGATAGATCTCATTAGGTAATCCATTCCTCAGAAGTAGCTACTGGGGCTATTTCTGCCCACTCATTATTATCCATTTATCGTGTCTTGTTCCTATCTTCTTTTTAATGTATCTTAAGATAAGAAACATAGATTAATTTATATTGGCATTAGCAGGAAGCAGCATAGTGTAGTGAATGATTAAAAGAGTGGACTCTGGAGCCCGACTTCATGGATTTGAATCCCAGCTCTGTCACTTCCAGCTCTTGTGACTTTGAACAAGTTACTTAATTTTTCTTTGCCTCAGTTTCCCTACCTGTAGAATGGAGATGATAATGGTATCTTCTTCATAAGGTTGTCAAGTATTTAGTTTTACACTGGCATGTAGTAATTGCTAAGTCATTGCTTGTTAAATAAATAAATAAGCAGTTTTGACTCTTTGTAAGCAATCTGGAAGTTGCAGATGCTGAGGCGCTAATTGGAATCAGACATGCCGTGAAGCTGGTGTGCAGGCCCCAAACACATTGGTCAGTAAGCCCAAGGCGCCAGCCCCCAGCACCATCGTCTCCACACGGCCATGCTGTTCACGGCCATGCTGTCCTCTACTTGTCATTATCTTTTCCATCACTCTTGGGAGGGACCCTGAAATGAAAGCCAGTGATTAATATCAATGACGAAAATACCCTGGGGAAAAAAAGTCTTTAGCTAAATAGAAAGTTGAACTCAGTTAAATATTCCAGCGTATTTTTATGGCATTTTGAGGGGAAGATAATATGCTAGATATAATTTGGGTTTTGAAGTCTTTGCAGCCTTCAGAAATGATAAGTAATGTTGATTTTCAGTAAGTCAGCTGCTTTTCCAGCATTGGAAGATCTGTGATCTTCCCTTTACATGGCTTTTATCAAGGTCCTCTTGTGACTGCACGGCGTATATTTGCAAGGGCGCTGATTGGAGTCAGAATTTGAGCCTCTCTGTACGGCTAAAGAACACAGCAAAACTACATGGGCAGAGTTTGGCCTCATTTTTCAGTCTGGTTGCCATTAGCCACAGGACAGAGTGAGTTGGGATAAGTAAAATAATCCAGAACCTTTACTCTGGCTAATACATTCAAGCTAACTTTCCAATAAATATCTTCCAGAGTAGTTACGAGGATTTAGACTTCATCTTCTCTTTTTTTACCCCTTTCCCCATGGTAGAGATCCTAGTGAATCATAAACAAGAACATAGCAAAAACCCAAATAAAGCAGGCCAACTAATCAATGCACAGAATAGAGTGCCGATCGTATTGAGGCCGTTCTCTTCCTATTTGCCCCTAAGCTCCTGTCATACCTCCTCTTGATCACCAAGACTCGCTGGGAATTGTTTGTTGACTCTTATATTCAGAACATGACATAGCAAAGGTCTTGGATAAACACACGCAAGCTGCTTTTGCCCACCCATCTTCCTCTCGGTAGTCTAGCTACGGTAATATAGTTCCTCCCTCTTTACAGGTGAATGCCCTGGATGGTTACAACCGAACAGCCCTCCACTATGCAGCTGAGAAAGATGAGGCTTGTGTGGAGGTCCTCTTGGAGTATGGTGCAAACCCCAATGCACTGGATGGCAACCGAGACACCCCACTTCACTGGGCAGCCTTTAAGAACAATGCCGAGTGTGTGCGGGCCCTCCTAGAGAGTGGGGCCTCTGTCAACGCCCTGGATTATAACAATGATACCCCGCTCAGCTGGGCCGCCATGAAGGGAAACCTTGAGAGCGTCAGCATCCTTCTTGATTATGGTGCAGAGGTCAGAGTCATCAACCTAAAAGGCCAGACGCCCATCTCCCGCCTGGTAGCTCTGCTAGTCAGGGGACTTGGAACAGAGAAAGAAGACTCTTGCTTTGAGCTCCTGCACAGAGCTGTTGGACACTTTGAATTAAGGAAGAATGGCACCATGCCACGAGAAGTGGCGAGAGACCAGCAGCTGTGTGAAAAACTGACTGTCCTGTGCTCAGCCCCAGGAACTCTAAAAACACTCTCTCGCTATGCTGTGCGTCGGAGTTTGGGACTCCAGTACCTCCCAGATGCGGTGAAGGGCCTTCCACTGCCAGCTTCCCTGAAGGAATACCTGTTACTTGTGGAATAGGCTGCAGGAGCCGTTTGCACCCTCACGCAGGCAACCCCGGGGGGAGGTTTTTCCCTGCAGTCCTCTCTTTGTCTTGGAAAACAGGAAAAGCAGTTGTTCCTGTTGCGTGGTTTGTATTTAGAGACAACGTGTCCCGACGGTAACCTCCACACCATCTCCCCTCCCCAAACCAAGCAACCAAACAAAAAAAAAATCCCTCACTTTTGTTTTCTGTTTCTTGCTTACTTGGCTTTTTATATTGCACCCTGCAAAAGAAGAGGTCTCCCCCTACCCTCCCCTTTAGGGAAAAAGTCAACAATGCAACAAAATTCTCTAGGAAAATGAAGAGTATTTAAAGAGTGTGTGTTTAGTTTTCCTTTGGGAACGTGATTAACATTTCAGAAGAATCCCTCTAGAAGCATTGTAACTGGTCAGTGAAGTTTAAGAAAATTCCAGCTAACAGATGTGGCCCAAAGATGAAGATACTACAACCTCCAATGGTGTGCAGATGCACAGTTGGGCTGGATGATACGGATGATCCCCTAGCGTGCCCCATCACGGAGTGTGCAGAAGGGACTGGCCCCCTCTCACCATCAGAGCAAACAGCAGCCTTTGCCTCTTTTCCATGGGTGTGCCTGAGGGTTACAGTAGTTCAGCAGTGCTATTTCAGAAATAACATTGTCTGACTGCTTTCCACGTAGTAGAAGAGAGAGCAGGTTCTGAGCAGTCCTAAGAACTCAGATGTCCTAAGAACTTTTCTCCTAATGCAGGTCTTTCTCCTTGTGAAAGCCAGTTTGCTCTAACGGGCTTAGCAGGTGTTTGTACACCTTAGGTGAAGGTGTTTACTCCAGCAGGGGACGAGATGGGCTGGGCTGCCTTTTCCCACGGGTCTTCATTTCCCCATAGGCAGCTCACTCTGCTAAGAGTTGGGAGTTATTTTCCTTTCAGTTGTTTTGGAAACTTTGCTTTTTACTGATCTATACAAGACACTGGGGAGTGCAGGGTGCGGGGGAAGAGCATTATAAGAGCTTCTTTTGAGATGGCCCACCTACTCAAAAAAGAACTGCCTTAGTGAACCATACTTAGTCAACAATACTCTTTCTTTTCATGTTCCTAAACTAGAGCAAGTTGTTATTGATCTTGGATGACCCAGATGCAAATTTGAAAACTTTTTTTTTTTGTTTAACCGATTGGGAACCACAAATAAAAATGACTGGAATCTGCTGACACAGCTGATTTCAAAAACAGTGTCTGCTTTTGCTGTTGGTGGTTTTTTTTTGCTCACTTGAAAAAAAAGAAATAAACACTTCTAAAAGCGAGTTTGGCAATTTCTACTGTTCCTACGTTTCTCCACATCATCATTAAATCCCTGGGAGCCCTATTGGCCATAACTCTGAAATGGGGCTGTCACTACCCTCCTACTAAGCTGGTTTGAGGATGCAGTGCTAACAGTGCTTGCTATTTACTGTTAAGTTCTCTTCCCCGTAAAGAACTGCACAGAGAGCATTTGGCTGCTTTAATTCTGGACTCCGACAAGCCTTCTCAGTTACTGTTTAGAACTGTCTTCAGGGTGTAGAGGTAATACTTTGGATAGCAAGCAAAAGTGATGTATTACAGCTGATCCGTCCTCCACCACTGGTAAAACCTTGAACCTCTTCCTGCTTCATCAAGCAAGTGAGGAGACTGGGTCGGGAGGAATATGTGTGCTTGTGCCGAGAGCCACAAGCGGGCACCGTCCTGTCAATTTGGAGGCTCCCGAAGACCAACTGCATGACATGGTCACTTGGCTGATGCGGAGGAAGAAGCTATTGTTACGGCACAGAACAAACTGAGCTGAATAAGAACTGACAACTTTCTAAAGCCCTATTTCAGCCAACCCACCAAACCAGGGCCCGGGCTGGGGGGTCTCTTTCCCAGGCTTTCAAAATGTGCATGTCTCCCCACAAACGGAGTCTGCCTTTCATCTAGGAAGGAGTACAGGGGAAGAGTTGAGAAGGAAGAACCCTGAGTTGTCAGAAGAGGAGTACAGATCGTGGGATGGCTGGAAAAAAGCACCCCTGGGAAATAGGTAGATGATCAAACGGTGAAACACAACTTCCTGCTTAAGAGAGGCTGACGCATCCTGTGGGTGCAGAGGATGCGGGAGGGACTGGTGTGGTATGAGGGTAAGGACCAGCGTACGATGTCCTAGGACCTTACGTACAGAGCCAAGAGATGCTGCGGGAAATAAGCCAGGAGGTGGAGAGAAGTACATGGGGTGATCATATGGGCTGCATCTTCCCAAGTGTCTGAGCAGAGTCTGGTCCTTAGGGCTGACAGTATGACAGCTACTTGTGCAAGTGACAACAGGAGAACCAAAAGCAGTGACCAGTTGGCATTTATTAGTGTAGCTATTGTTTGTCACTGCAGTAAAAGTAGTAGAGGAACCAAGACTTTGTTATCACAAAGAAATAAATACAGCTTATTTTTAGGAAAATTCTAACCGAGTAGCTGAAATCTAGCAGTAGCCTAGAGGAGCCCAGTCTTCTTGTGTGACAGATGAAGCTGGGGTAGAAGTCATGATAAATTCTACCTAAAGGTGGCTTCTACTCACTGCCTATTGCCCCAGCTCCCTGGCAGAGCTGGTCATGGCTACAGCTGCAGAATAAAAGGAAACCTAAAGAAAAATGCACTAAAACACTTGGGAATACATGGACTTGGATCTATCAGGGGGTGAGCTGACCATGATCAGACAATCCATGACCCTCACTCCAAAGAGGGTTAGATAGAAGTTTCTCCAGATCGCTTCCGACTGATGTGCTCCAGGTGGGCGTGCTCTGAGGTGTCCAAGTCAATCTCGTACTTGGCTAAGATTTTGAGGATGGGCCTCAGCTTCAGCCACCACTGTTCCTTGGGGATGCGGTGCCTACAGAGAAATGAGAGAGATGATGATTTCCCCTTTTAGCACCCCAACTGACTTCTATCAAAAGCTGATGGAAAGAAGTTGAGTAGAAGAGGCTGGATTTTAGGGCAAGGGCTCAGATCTGAAATAGTTTCGACTACAGGCATTAGTCCTAAGATAAAAGGATTGAAGACAGCGAACAGGTTGGGAAGAGATCCTGAAACTACCAGGGAAGTAGATGTACTCACTCAAAATCCGTCTGGTCCTTCAGCTCAGTCACTGGTTGAAAGACCAGAGCCCTCTTACGCATCCCCAGAACACAGCCCGAGTCTGGCGTATTGGCAAAGATCCTCCCTGCAATAAAGGTCAATAAGCTTCAATAATGGGGATCCAACCTCTATGGAGGGGGCTTGCCCTCTTACCCCACCTACCATTACGGTAACTCTCTTTGATTTTCCCGAACATCCAGTTCATAGCCTTGGCGCCCATCTTAGTGGCAAAATTCCTGTCAAATGGAGTTGGGCTCCCCCCCTGAAAAAAGAGTCTTAAAATTACAGAGGGAAAGACTCTAATGAAGTGGCAGAGATATCTGAACATACAGAGAAAAAGGAAAGAAAAGGCCCCAGGTTTACAGCCCGAAACAGAAATCCTAACTCTGAAAGGAAATCCTGACAGTGCTGCGAACCAGGGTGAGTTGGCGCGGCAGATTTGGCCACTTACTAGGTGTAAGAGTAACTAATCAGATAAGGGGGTAACCGGTCTCACAACTGCCTCTTCTAGCTCCACAGCTGCCAGACCCTGTCGTTTACTTCTAGTCTGGCTGGCCGCTCAGTCACTTCCTGCCCCTCTTCAGCCTAGCAGCTTTTGTCAGTCGCCACCGTCAGGGACACCGAAGGGTTCCTTGCGAACCAATACGGATGGGCTTGGCAGCACCTCAGAATGATATGAATCATGTAGATTTTCTCTGAACTAAGAGAAAGTAGGTGGGAAGTGGGGAATAGATCGTCATACTTTAACCAATTGTACCCCATTCCTGCAGGGACTAATAAGCTCCTTCAAGCTTGAGATATTGGGAATTCATACGTGGGTAGACAAAGGTCAAAGGTCCATACTTAAGCAGGATCAGCTGGAGACACTGGGAACGGGGAGGCCTAAGACCACTAGGCCTAAGACCATCTGTGAGCGAGGCCCACCGGAGGTGGGGATTGAGTGTGGGTGGTAGAAAGGAATTCGTTTCGCCCAGAGACCCCAGTTCACGGGGCTGGAGCCCAATACCCGCAAGGTGCCTGTACTCATTGCCTAGGTTCCTTAGGAAAGGCGGTATGGTACGGTGGGAAGAGCCCTGGCTCTCGCCCGGGCTTGATGAGTGGCCCTGAAAAAATTATGTCTCCTCTCTGGGCCTCGTTTCCTTCATCTGGACTAGTGGTTCTCAGCTGGAGATGATTTTGCCTCCCCGGGGACGTTTGGCAATGTCTGAAGACATTTTTTTAGTTGTTACAACTCAGGAGGGAGGTGCTACTGGCCTCTCGTGGGTAGAGTCCGGGGATGTTGCTAAAGCATCCCACCGTGCACAGGACAGCCACCTGCAACAGACTTATCCAGCCCCAAAGAGCAACGGTGCCAAGGCTGAGAAGCCCTGCCCTACATGAAGAGCATGGACCACATAATCTCTAAGGCCATTTCCAGAGTAAAGGTGTTTAGACCCTATGACAGTACAAGATTGCAGGCTCATGCTCCAGCAGACTGGAGGCCAGCAGAAGAGCCAGTGGCTACTGGGGGTATGGCCATCTGGTGACGGGCGCGGCGGGGGCGTCTTCCCTACCTGCTGCATGTGGCCAAGCACATTCTTCCTGCTGTCAAAGATGCCCTTCCCCTCCTCAGAGTACAGGTTGAAAATGAAGTCAGTGGTGTAGTTCTCATTGCACTTCTCATTCCTGCCACGTAGAGACCAAAAGCCTGTGACTTTGGTTGTCCACCCCCTCTTCCCTCCCAACCCTTTTCTGCTTTTGTAAGCTTTGTTCTTCCCTTTTCTATCTCCTCCCTCCCATGGCTCAGGTTCTCTCCCTTTGTATCCAGATTCCTCAGGGTGTCCCAAACGGATCCATTCTGTGGGCTACAGCCAGAGCCTAATTTTTCTCTTCACTTAGGAACAAGCCGTGGATGAGGTACCTTAACACCAAGCCCCTCTTCACAGTCGTTTTCATCTTTTGTACCAGATGTTCCACATTTGCCTGAAAACATGAGAGCAAATCCTAAGCCCAGCTGGGGGTGGATAAGGCTGGGCAGGTGCACAGCTCTCTTGTTCCCCACCAGGCCTCTCCTGGGGAGAGGGACATGGAAGAGAGTCGTTTACAATCCTGTGTCTCATCCCTGTAAGAAGTTCAGGGCAGACTGAAATTTAAACAAAGACTGCAAACGAGACAGGCAGAACTGGAAGAGGGCACGTCAGAGACAGCTGTGGCAACTGCCAGGTTTCGCCTTTCCCCCGCTCCCAATGTCCCTTTCCAGGGGTTTCTGGTTCCCTTCCCTCAGAGGGCTGACTTTTGCTCTCAGCGTCGGTCTTTAAATGGTTTGCTTGTGTGCGCAGCAGTGATTCACCTGGGAGGAACCGGTTCCTTCCTCTGGGCTTGGAGTTGGGGTAAAGGAGGAAGACTCCCACCTCCATTCCTGGCAGGGGCTGGCTGGGTTCTTGGATTGGGGAGGTCCCTCCGCCTGCTGCCCCTCCACTTTGTGGCCTTTCTTTCCTCCAGTGAACTGAGATCTTGGAAAGTTAGGATCATACGGTCCCTCTGGAACAGGAGTCCGAGCCTCTCCCCCCCCGTGACAGGGAATGGAACGAGAAGAGTCTGGTAACAAGGGAAGTCCGGAGGGGTGGCGTGATGCCATAGAAAGACGGACTTTCTCTGTTAGTTAAACCACCTACTCACTCACAAGTCTAGAAAAGGCTTTTAACCTCTCTAAATCTTTCTTGTCTGTAACATGGAGATAATCTCTCCCTTGCACGTCGGTTTTGAAGACAAAATGCAGAAACACTCGGGCAAGGGCTTAGCACTACGCCATCCTTCGAAGCGGATGCCCCCGAGAGCCAGTGCCGGGGGCGCGTGCGTGAGGTTACCCGGAGGTGCTCCTCAGGGCCCCCACACCCAGCAGCTGTCCTCGTCTTGAGCTCTCCCAGCTCAGGTTGCCGTGCGGGGGGGGGCAGTGGGGACAGACGGGGGCAGGGCAGAGCTACGGCACAGGCCCGGGGTGGCCGTCTACCTGCAGGTCCCGAATGGTGAAGGGCTCCTCAAAAATGTAGGCGGCGTCAGCCCCGGCTGCCAGGCCCGCCATGGTGGCCAGGTAGCCGCAGTAGCCGCCCATGGTCTCAATGATGAACACCCGCCGCTTGGTGCCCGCGGCTGACTGCTTGATGCGGTCACAGGTCTGCAGGGACAGTGGGTCACAGCTAGAGACACGGGGCCCAGGGCCTGCTTCTTGTCACTTCTCTGGCCCTCGCCACAACCCAACTCTGGAACGCTCTCGTCCCCAGGCCGGCCGGCCGGCCTTCAGGGACGGCAGGCACGATGGCCACCCAGGCTGTGGGACTCCTCTCCCCGGAAGGAAGCTGTCCGCATCCTTTCCATTGCTCAGGGTGGGGAAATTAGACCACAGGCCCTCAGGAAGGAGAAGCCGTCTGGTATGCAGAGTACAGACGCCTTTCTGGTTGGACACTCGCAGGTGAGAATGAGGCCCACACGTGGGGACCAATAAGGCCCACGCCTGCGCTTCAATAAGCACTTCTCAGGCACTTCGCTTGGTTGGTACCAAGAAAGTAGCTCACTTTCTAGGAGCACACGCAGTCCAGGGACTATAGTCCCGGCAGAGGCCTGGGGGGGCGGGGGGGGGGCGCTCTCACCGTGCAGATGGTGTTGAGGGCTGTGTCAGCCCCCACACTGAAGTCCGAGCCGGGGACGTTGTTGGAGACGGTAGCGGGGATGACCACAAATGGGATGCACAGCTCATCAAACTGCTTCCTGCCCTCCATCAGTTCCAGGCCCCCAGTGTAAGCCTGAGAGGAGCCGCGAGGGCAGCAATGAGGGGAGAGAGAAAGGTGGGGGCCGGAGGGGAGGGGAGGGGAGGGCACTCACCTCAAAGCCCCCGATGATGACAAGGCCCTGAATGTTAAACTTAGTGATGTTGGCACTGATCTGCTCAAAGCTCTTCTTGGGGAGAGTCCTAGTTGAACGCGGTGGGGCAGGGGTGGGCGATGGGGCAATGGAATTTGGAGAAGGGACAGCAAAATTGAGGGAGAGAAAAGCCAGAATTAGAAGGTGCTTATGTATAATTTTTTGGCTTGTGGCCCCTTCCCTAGGCCACCTCTCACCACTGTCCAAGTCCACCCTGGGGCTTTAAATTGCCAGAGCTGCTAAAAGATGTCTGGATGGGCATGCCTGCCCCCACTGAGGCAACTGTGAGCTTGGGGACCAAAGTTCCAGACCACAGCAGTGTAGATGCTGACCGAATGAACTGACACCCATACTCAAGGGACATCTTTAGGGGTGACGAGGAGGAGGTGCTCCTATGATGCCCCTTACCTTTTCGTCCCAAGTTTGGAACCGCCTTGGCCAGTCCAGCCCCCCACATAGCTCCAGCCAGCTTCCTCGATCTGCAGGAAAAGGTCACATGCGTGTGCACTGTGGACTGACACCACTTCCTGAGTTCTGAGCCCACCCCAACACCCCCTGGTTGGCGGAGGAATGCCAGGCATCGGCTTTTCCCCATCTCAAAGAACTTCCTCCACCCTTATTGCTCATTCACAAATATTAAGCGCCCACTTATGCCAGGCGCTGCAGTGAGCTTTGGGAGAGAGAGAATTAAATAAGGTCTGTCGCCTACAAAGGGTTCGTCTCAGTGGCTCCTGCCTGTTCATACTGCCCTAAAACTAAGTATTTACTTCTGCTCACACCCTGGGAGGAAAGCAAGGTGGAGGACAACAGAAAGAAAGAGAACGGACAGGTCACCCCTGCTACACTTACCCTCCCCATGCCTGCTCCTTGGCCCCAGATTATGTGCCCTCTGTCCTTTTAGTCCCCGTACCTGACCCTTGGCCAGGCCCTCGAAGCCGTCGTGCACAACCAGCACCCGGTTGCCTTGGATGAGGCCAATTCTCACGGTGGAGCGCACAGCAGCATTCATGCCTGCAGCCGGGGCCCCCACGTTCATCACGGCCACGGTGTGCGTGCTACCCTGGGGGGAAGGAAGCGGACAGGGAGCGGGGCAGACGCGGGCACCGAAACCCCCGCAGAGGGAAGGGGACAGGTCAGTCAGGGAAGCCCAACTCCAGGTCCCTGGTGGTCCTAGGAGCAGGACATGGGCCTCTGGACGACAGAGGAATGCCGGCGCAGCCTGCTCCTTCTACTATGGAAGCAAAACTCCACCACAGATCAATAAGCGAGGCCGCTGTCCCTGCTCCCAGACGTCATTCATTACGTAACGAATGAGACCTTCCAGAGCAGCATTTCCAAAGCATGATCCTTGGACCACCTGATCTTTATGCCATTAAACCTGCATATTCCTGGCCCCTGCCCAGATCTAAATCCTCTCTGTGGGAAGGATCCAGCAATCTGCATGTTTAGTAAGCAGCCCACATAATGCTGATATACCCTGAATACTGAGACTCACCACTGAGACGGAGGGAGTGCCTTAAGTACACTCAGACGTGGTTATTCCCGGATTCACCCAGGGGAAATGATACATAAACCTACCTGGTCAGTCCTACACTGGATGTGGGTCTTGGGTTCGAGACACCCAGGGCACACTAAGAACATGGGGCTGGTATCTGGGGTGGCTGAGAGAGTTCTTGGTAGGGCCAGGGACTCGGTACCGAAGATGACAGGGGGGCAAGGAAGGTGGCCAGGCCGTAAGTTGTGTGGAGCGGAGGCAGCGCTTCATACGGGGAGACTGAGAGGAGGAGAGGGTCAAGGGCAGGGAACTCACCGGTGCCTTCGAGACTGGGGTTCTGACATGAGCCAGAAGCTTGTATACCTCCCAGTTGTTCATGAAGCTCCTGTAAAAAGCAGAGAGCAGGGTGTCTCCAGACCACTCCCCACGCCAGCAGCCAAGGGGGCCTGGAGTTTTGCTCGCGGTGTGAAGTTCCACAGGGCAAACCTCGAAGGGTAACTGGGACATAGCAGGGGCTGACAGGGGGCCGCCGATCAGTCCAACCCTCCCTGAGTGCTCTTCTCCCAGGCCCTGCGCTCAGCAGGAGACGCTGCCCTTGGCCTAGAGAAATGGAAGCCCTAGCTGGAATCCACACACAGAAACACCAGGTGATGGAAGGCCAGTCCCAGGGACAGCGTCCCTGCGATGTACTGTTCCTCCTGGTCACCTCACAGCCCATTCTCCTGGGGAAGACACTGTCACAGACAATAAAAAGAGGAAGAGGCAGAAACTCCTATTTTGGGTCTGAAGCTATGTCCTTTTTTTTTTTTTCCTTTGCTTCATTCCAGTATCTGATTTCTGTAGCTAGTGAGCTTCTGATCATTCCCTCACCGGCCTCGCAGCTTCATGGCTTCGTCGAATTTCCTGTCGTTCATGGCCATGGTCACATCCTTGGTCTGAGGGAGGAGCACAGCGAGAGTCAGGACGACGGGGCAGGGCTCTACGCAGCTGGATTTCTACCCCATGGGAAGATTCCGCCTGTCTCTGCGCTTACGACTGGATCCTGCCCACCAGGAGCCCCACCTGTTCTAAGCTCCCCAAACTTTCACAGAAAGAAGTATCTTTGTGTTTCCTTAATTTGGGGAGTAATGAGCAGCAAAAGGAAGGAGCTGATTCAATGCTCTACTTACTAGAACACGGGCAGAGTGGAGGAGTGCTCACAGACAGAAGAGCATCCGCCTCCATCCCATGCCCACGGCCGCAACCTCAAGGTAGCCTCTAAACTGAGGAAATGAAGAGGATCCCCCAGACAGCCCGGTCAGGAAGAAAGGCTAATCCTTGCCGGGTGTTTCCCAGCTACTGATTTCTTCTCCGCGAGCCAGTACTTTCGCTTTTGGGCTTTTGGAGACACAGTTCCAAGCAAGGCTGGAGCTTGTCTGTGCTGCGGGTTGCTGGGACTCCCCGAGTCTCAGAGAGAAGCAGGCCCACGCATGCGGCCCAGCCCCGAGAATTGGCCAGACCCCTTAGCTCCCAGCCGCAATGTCTGCTCGGTGGTAGCAGAGGAGTGATTCCTTCATGTAAGAGCCACCTTCCCCTGAGCACTCAACATTTTCCAGGTCCTGCATCAGACCCTTTACAAAGCTTCCCGCCACTCCTTCTAACAGCCCTCAGGGTGAGCGTTAGAAACCTCATGTTGGTTCAGAGAAACACATTCAAGGTAGAAACCATAGAAACATATAACCTAGCCAGCCAGACCTTAATAATATCCCTGCTTTTAATAATGTTCGGAGAGATACTGCATTTCTCTTCCAACAAAGACGTGGTGAAATCAGTTGAGGTTGGATGTTGTGCGATACTGGGTCTCATCACTCGGTAGGATGTAGCATCTCTCACGTTCCTTGGGAACACTTACAGATGGGGACGCTGAGGCTCAGAGAGGAGACAGCTCCCATGCAAACCCTACTATGCTCCTTCCCCAGCTGACTCACTACACCATGCTGCCTTCCCATCTGCTCCTATTCCAGTGGCCCTGGAAGTGGGTCTCTTTCCCTCTAAGCTCCAGCTCCAAGACAGGCTTGGGACTGTTAGGAAGCGGAGCGGAGGTCAGTACTTACCACCTGGACACACTCCATGAGGGGCAGGCGCACAGCCTGGTTCCCAGAGAGGCTCACCACACAGGCTGGGGTGTCCGGGGTCCCCTCCAAAAGCGCCATCACAGCTTCCACACCCATCCTGCTGCCCTGCAGAAGCCCAGGGAGGAAAGACAGTCTGGTTCAGGCCTCCCCATCTGGACTCAGCCTGGAGAGCTAGGGCACTCGAGGCCCCTCCAGATCACAGGGTTGAGCCACATATTTGAGGACTATAGCCAAGAACTTACTGGACTTTACCTCCCTACTCAGATTTCATCTAAGCTTGATGATTCCTCATCCTCTGGCCATTCTGTTTGGTTCCAGAGAAATATGTCCACTGTAGTAATCAAGGACGTTACGGAGGCTTAATAATATTCCCTTCTTATTGATAAAATAAGGAAGAGTATGGCCTCTCTCTTCCAATGTAAGTAGGATAAGAGGGTTCAATCTGAGTGTCTGAAGTTAGATCTTAATAATGTTATTAATGCTCAAAGTGGAGATCTGAGAGCTCACCATTTGGGGGGCATAGAGTTCCCCAACAGTTTTTGCAACAGAAGAGAACTGGTAAGTGTACGGGAATGGGTCAAGGGCCAGTGCCATCCAGAGGCTGGAGGCGGGCGACATGGTCAGTGGGGTGCGCCCCTGTCATTGTGAAGCGCAGTTCTGTGGACTATGGGTTCTAAGACGCCAGGGCCCCGGGACCCCACGACTCACCAGGATTCGGTCAAAGGCTGACGGTGTCCCACCCCGCTGCACATGCCCCAAGACAGTGACCCGAGTGTCATATCCCAGACGCTTTACCACCAGCTGAAGAGACCAAAAGAGGGACAGAGAGAGGGATACAGAGTCAAAGACCGAAAACAAGCAGAGACTGAGATAAACCCCGATGGCTTAGCCTCTTATCTTGTCACGATGCCTTGGACACCCGGGGGCAGGAAACTTGGGGAGAGATGTGCAGAAGGGCTAAGGGGAGACTCAGAAATGACTAGGGAAGGGGGATGGTGTCCAAGGCCTCTCTGGCTTCATTCCTACTAACGTTCTTGATGTCCTCGGAGGTGATTGGTTTCCCATTCCTGTCGATCGCACCCTCAGCCACAATGATGATGTTGAGACGAGAACCACGGGTCCTTGTCTGGTCGAGAGCAAAGAGAAGAGCGGTCAGTGGAGGGAAACTGGTGGACGGGAAGGGCAGCATCAGTGGAACAGGCGAGGGTTTTTTTAAGGGCAAAATAAAGTGCCAGTACCTCGCTGAGCCGGCGACAAAGATGTTCCTCCCAGTCATCATCTGGTGGACATTCAGGAATAAAAACCCAGTCAGCCCCACAGGAGAGGGAAGTGACAAGGGCCAGGTATCTGAGATGAGAGGCAGAAGCACCGCGCTAGGAGCCACACTCCACCAACAGCCTCACCCGTACCCAGCGGGACTGCCTGTCCCCATAGTCGGTGGGAGGTCTGAGGATCGGTGGTTTCCTTCTTAGGGGAGGGTAAGAGCACTGCTGAGACAGCTTCTCAGTGGGATCCTGTCCCTGAAGAGCACCTTCTAGTCACGCTCCCCTACCACAGTGGCTTCTAATCTCAGAGCACTGTGTGTCCCTTCCCACTGGAGTGTGACACACCTGCACGTGTCGGTAGGTGGGGAAGGAGGGGCGCTGGAAGCAGGGGAAGGGGCCACAGCCAGAGGAGCACATACACCTCCAGATCTGCTACCCCTGGGGGACCTCTTTGGACTCTCCGGGGAAGAGTAGGCTACTGCTGGCACCAGAGAATCAATGAGTCAAGCTGGGGATCTTACCCACAGTGCCGGCCCATCACTTCTAACACAAACGTCCTCTGGTGGCTGCGAGAGAGAGACAGAGGGCTTACAGTCCTAGTGTCCCTCTGGCCAGGATCAAGCCGCCACCCACATCCAGGCCATGAAACCTCCCTGGGAGATGCATTTATGCTGTTAGGCCTTCCAGCAGGCTTCCTGTGAGACCAGGAAGACCCCAGGGAAACAGGTCAGCCACAGGGCGGCTAAAACACAGCAGTAAAATGTGTCAGTCCTGCGGCTCTGTTCCAGGGAGCGAGGGGGCCCAGGAAGGGAAGGAGAGCGAGGGAAGGGAAGTGAAGAAGTGAGGACTCGACTGGCCTGGAATCCCCCAGGATTACCCTGACCAACTGCCACCTGCTGTCCTCCCATTCTCACACGCTGAGCAGGGGCGGCGGCGGCCTCCACGATCGCGCTGACTCGGCTGAAAGGGGAGCTGAGGTATGGGGCTCCCTGGATTTGTCTCAGGTTGGACACTAATCACTTGGGAGACCCCAGGGGTACTCAAGCCCTCAGAGCTACAGCGTGGACAGTGGGTGAGACAATGACAGAGGCAAACCTACAGCATCTAGACAGCAGTGCAATTTCAGGGCTCTAGGGATAACTCTTCGTTAAAAACAGTGTTCCATGTCTTCCTCAGTTTCTTTCATGAGTATTTTATAGTTTTCTGAGTACAGATTCTTTGCCTCTTTGGTTAGGTTTATTCCTAGGTATCTTACGGTTTTGGGTGCAACTGTAAATGGGATCGACTCCTTAATTTCTCTTTCTTCTGTCTTGTTGTTGGTGTATAGGAATGCAGCTGATTTCTGTGCATTGATTTTATATCCTGCCACTGGACTGAATTCCTGTATGAATTCTAGCAGTTTTGGGGTGGAGTCTTTTGGGTTTTCCACATAAAGTATCATATCATCTGCAAAGAGTGAGAGTTTGACGTCTTCTTTGCCGATT